CAGGCTCAAGCTTGGCTGCCTACAGTGGTAGCTCTCTCTGGGTCGCCCTCTACCGCTGCAGTTCCTTGAATCAGTCCAATAAGCTGTTGATAGTTGGGTTTTTATCACAGGAAATTCTCTGCTTCTAGGAGAACATAAACGAACCCCTTGCCTCTCCAGGATTGAGGAGCTCTATCCTCCTATCCCTCCATCTTTCTTTCTTTTAGATAAAGAGTATGTACCAGTAGGCGTCTCCAAGTTTCTCCCCACCCTCCAGGAGTTGTCTTGGACAGCTCCACTTTGGAGAGCACAAAGCCAGAGACACCGGCCTTCGTTTGTGTCTTTTGTTCTGAGCAGAGGGCACTGCTGTAGCTCCCATGCGTATGCCCAGATTGTGGCCATGGGGATTTTCAGATCACTGGGTACTTTGTGCATTGTTCAGTACATCTCTTTGTTTCTGTTCTTTAACTGTGGTTTGTTTTCTCATTACAAGAGCAGCAGCTTCTCCCAAGGGGAGAAAAGGAAAAAACATTCCCTTCCTCCTCCCCAGGTTTCTCCCTTTGTAGCTTGCAGTCCTGTGTAACAGGCGTTGATCCTCTACTGCGGCTACAGGTACAGGAGCAAAGAGGACAGCCAGGGAAGGGAGACACGGTCCAGCCCGCTTCCATTTTCTTTTGCTTTCGGTTCCTCTGTACAGCACAATCCTTGTGTTATTCTGTGTCCTGAACATACAACATGCCAGACTCTTTTCAGAAAGTCTTTTCCCATTGTATCTCAGTCTCCTCACTTAAGTGGACAAGGCACGACTGAAGTATACTGGAGACTTCCCAGGCAAGGAGTGGGGATGCACCTAGCAGGAGTTCTCCCATTCTGTTGTCCAGCTTTGGTCTGATGGGGGCTAAGACTGTCATTAATATTGTTCATGATAATGGAAATGCCCCACGGAAGCCTGTGCACCTAAGCAGGGTGGAGGGTTGGGTGCTACTCTAGGCTGCCTTGGGAAGAATAGAGCTGGGCGAAGTGAGATGCTGCTGTGGGTGAGGTGGCTGGCTTAGTTTCTCTATGCCTCATCCCCTAGCACCAGATACTGACCCACATCCCATAGAGGAACCTGCGTTCCCCTTCCTCAATCCCTGTGCTCTCTCTCCCGAGTAATCCTGTTCATAGGGAGGGCAGGCCCAGCTTAGGGAGTGTGGCCTGGTTTTTAGGAAGACTTCCGGGTTTGATTCTCAGGAGACCATCAGGAGCAGGGGATAGGCAGGACTCTGGATTGACTGACATTTGTCTAGGGAAGTTCAGGTCACCATCAATTTCCTCTAGACCAAATTAGAAGCCCTGAGCCAGTGAGGGCTTTTGCACAGGAAAGGCCTATTGAGTGGCCTGGGGTTCCTGTACTTTCTCAACACCCACTTCTCCTCTACCAAGGCCTTCCTGTCTACTTTCTCCCCACTGTCTGAGAGCCTCCCAGACTCAGCATAGACATAAAGGGCAGCAGAGATGGGGTTGCTCTACAAGGCCACCCCCTTCTGTCATCTGTTCCCCTCGATGGTTCTTGAAACCATCCCTGGCCCTGGGAGCAGGAGGGTGGAGTTCAGAGTTGATGTCTCATTAGCATATTCATCCATAGTAATCAGAGACCTGCTGTGATCTAAAGCTCTCCTCGGGCTTCCCCGCCTCTCAGCCAGGTTGAGAAGCCCACAGAGGGTGGTCAAGTCCCCACTTGAAAGGCAAGCTAGCCAGGAGGAAATGGGGAGGAATGGAGAGAGGACGATACCCCTGGAGAAGGGTCTTCTGGTTGGGAAGAGTGTTGGGCACCTTCCTGTCGTCTTGCTCTGGAGACAAGAGGATTCATCACATCTGCCTCCTAGATCACCCATTCCCATGGCTACTGTGGCTCCCAAGATGGATCCAGGAGAAAGAACAGTTCTTTTCTTTAATTTACTATACTCTGTATGAGTGAAACATACATTTTGCATTTGCCCCGTTTCCTGAAAGCCTAGATACTATGGCCTAGTGTGAAGTCAAAGAAAACAGTAAGTTGATTTTTTAAGACTTTCTTGCATCTATTTGTTTGTGTGGGGGGAGGGGGTCACTCACATGTGCTGTGTGCACTTAGAGTGGTGGGAAGACAAGCGGTGGAGTTGGTCCTCTCCTTCCACCATGTAGCTTCTAGTATCAAACTCAGGTTGGCAACAAGAGCCTTCTGCCCATGGAGTTAGCTCACCGGCTCCTGATTAGATTATGTAGAAGAAAATATTAAACAGCAATGAATTTAGTAGTCATTGTCAAGGAAGCATGCCTATGTGCATCTGGGATGCTGGTGTGTGTGTGTGTGTGTGTGTGTGTGTGTGTGTGTGTGTGTGTGTGTTCATGTATGGGTGTATATGTGTGGAAGTCAGTGTACAACCTCTGCTTGTCACTCCTCATGCACTTTTTACCTTCTGTTGAAGAGAGGGTCTCCCACTGGCCTGGGACTTCACCAAGTGACCAGCAAGCCCCAGGATTCCCCTATCTCTGCTCCCCATTTTGCCATCTCTGGGATTACAAGCATACAACATCACGCTTGGCTTTTTGTGTTGGTTCTAGGGGTTCAAACTCAGGTCCTCATGCTTATAAAGCACACAGTTTACCAACTGAGCTACATCCAAGTCCTGGGCACTGGGTTTTACTAGCAGCTGGCTTCCCCTATGTAATGAGTCAAGGAAAAGAATACAGCAGAGGCTACAATGTTTTCATGACCTGAAATGTGGAAGGCATGTGCTGTTATTTTTGTTATATTCTATTGGCCACATGGGCCAGCAGAGACACATTCTGAGAGGAACCAGCTCAGGCACATGGGTATCAAGAGGCAGAATCCTTGGGAACCATCATCTTGAAGTCTAGGTACCTAACGCATGTGGAACACTAGTCTGAGCAAACTGAAGCAGACTCCATTTTTTAGGGTGTCCTAAAGCCTTTAAAGGCTCCCATGTGGGCTGTGAATCACATTTCCCAGCAGTGTGGCCGCAGCACTCTTTGCTAGGGAGAAGATAAGGAAACCTGTAAGAGCATTGCTTTGGAATGCCCGACCTGGAGAAAAAAGTCTGGATTTTTCCTAGTGTTTGTATTCCTACACAGTCTGGCAGGAACTTCCAATGCAAACATTCTTCTCTTTGCTCTACATCCCCATGAATATGTATATGTGATGTATGTACATGGGTGCACATGCATATGTGTGCATGTGGCGGCCCATGATTTACACCTTCCTTCATCATTCTCCAGCTTACTCACTGAGGCAGGGTCTCTCAATTGAGCCCAGGGCTCATCCGTATGGCTAGGCTAGCTAACCAGCTTGTGATGTGTACCCCCTGTCCCTGCCTTTGTAGCAGTACCATATCCACCCAGCATCTTTGTGGGTTCTGGGGCTCTGAAGTCCTCACACTTATGTGACAAGCGCTTTAAGCACTGAGCCATCTCCCCAGCCCCCCCCTTCCCATTATTCCCACCGCCTTTCATTTTCCTCCTTTCTCTCTTTTGAGACAGAGTCTCCTGTATCTCATGCTCACCTCCAACTCACTATGTAGCCAAGGATGTGCTTCCAGTCCTCCTGTCTCCACCTCCAGAGTCCTGGGATTATAGGTGTGCACCACCAGTCCTGGTTGTTTATGGCACTGGGTATTGAACCCAGGGCTTCCTTCATGCTAGGCAGTCACTTTCCCACCTGAGCGACATCCCTCACCCAGTGTTGATCCACTGGGACTTGCCCTTACAGCTATTTCTGGGGCTGTTTGTTCTGCTCTTTTGCCTCTTCCGGTTTCTGAGTTTATACTCCCTGGGGGTGTTGGAAAAGCCACAGTACCTGTAAGTCTCTCCCATATCCCACAAAAGAATTATCCTTTGTTTTTTTGTTTTTTTGTTTGTTTGTTTATTTTTGCCAGGTGTGGTGGCTATTACCATAATCCCAGCACTTGGGAAGCTGAGGCAGGAAGATCACAGCAAGTTTGAGGCCAGCCTGAACTACATAGTGAGTTCCAGGCCAGCCTAAACTACAGAGACCCTATCTCAAAAACAAGACCAAACCAAAACACCAAATAAAAAGCCAAAAACAACAATAACAAAACCTCAAACAGTATTTTCTGCCTTTGGTTTTTTTTGTTTTTTTTTTTTTTTACACGATGACGTATTTGGACCCTTGTTCCAACTCTCTGCCTGTGAATTCCCTCCTCTTCCAGGCCTTTAATTCCAGTGCTACAAGCTGTGTGTGACCGAGTTTAGTGCCTCACTAGAGTTTAGGGGCAATCTGGTAAACACGGTCTCGTTCTTCTCTTCCTCCTTGCTTCTGAGCAAGGTTTCGTGAGCCAGGAGAAAACCTTTGGTAAGGTCAAACTAGGAGATTTCTCCTGTCTGGAGGCCTTGTTGTCTTGAAGCTGGAATCATACCTTCTGCACCCAGAGAGTGTATTCCCCATCTGTAGCCATTGCCCAAGGTCTGGAATGGGCAGACAGAGAGCCTGGAACCAGTTCAGTGTCCCTGGTAGTCTGGTGGGCATCGTGTCCTAGGCAATGCCATAGAAGCTGTCCCTGGTAGTCTGGTGGGCATCGTGTCCTAGGCAATGCCATAGAAGCCGTAGCTGAAAGTTGAGCTTCAATGAGAAATTCATTCCAGAACCTCCTAGGTCCTCTCTGATGCCCCGAATGCCTCTGGACAGTACAATGAATTGGTTTACCATTTATACACTTGATTTTAGAGATAAGACTTCCTGAATATGGGTCCCAGGGAGAAGCCTGGCAGGATGCCTTCATGCAACACCTGTGGTATTTCTTCTCAAAGAAGCACACTGGGGTATCCTCAGCATTGGAGGCCTCCTTATGGAACGGATATGGTCCTGTCCAGGATGGAAGGACCCATCTGATTTGATCTCTTGTCCAAACTCTTGGCATGTCAGAGCCTACTCCTGGTCAGCCACCTGCCTGGCCAGAACCCCTGGGGTCTTCCTCACGGGAGGACCCTTCCAGTGGTTTTCCAGTTCCTTTCCTCCCACAGTGGCGTGGGCCTGGCAAGAGCACATTTTGAAAAGCAGCCCCCCTCCAACCTCAGGAAGTCCAACTTCTTCCACTTCGTGCTGGCCATGTACGACCGGCAGGGGCAGCCCGTGGAGGTGGAGCGCACAGCCTTCATCGACTTCGTGGAAAAGGATCGAGTGAGAGGCTCATGGGCTGGCCTGGGGCTAGCACTGGGAGTGATGGGTGGCCTTCAGGGACCTTGACGCTTACACACACACACACACACACACATGTGCACACACATGTGCACGCACACACACACGCACCCTGGGGAAGATGAGTGGGAAACCGTGGGTGAATGGCTGGAAGGCAAAGAAGGACAGTGGGATTCGATGGCGGGCACGGGTGAAGGAGGGTATGGGTGACAGAGGTTGAAGACCCTGAGCACTTGAACATCCTCCTGTCTTGTCCTTGCAGGAGCCTGGGACAGAAAAAACAAATAACGGGATCCATTACCGCCTTCGGCTGGTGTATAACAATGGTAAGCAGAGTCTGGGTACTAGAGCACCTTGAGACACAAGCACCCTCATCAGGGCTGGAGACGGTGTGGGTATAGTCATCTGGGGCCTCCTCATGCCCCCCAGACAGCAAGTTCTTTCTACTTTCCCATCCTAGGACTTCGGACAGAGCAAGACCTCTATGTGCGTCTCATTGACTCCATGTCGAAGCAGGTGAGCCAGCCTGGGGGCTGTTCAGGCCCATCCTAGACTTGGTTTGAGTAAACATTCTTAACCCCTCTGTCTTTCTTGTGGCTTCACTCTCACTGCTCTCCCAGTTCCCTGCCTGTGGCAAGAAGGTTGTGCTTTTTCTCTCCAGTCTGGAAAAGAAAGTATTTACAAAAAAGACCCTGGCTTAAGTCATATCCCTTAGCAACCCAATCTTAGACACAAAATCAGGGGCATGCAGTTTATTGTTGAAGAGGAAAAGCCCTGCTCAGGAGGAGAGGAAAGGAATCAGGACAGGAAGATACCCAGGAAACAGGTGGTCTCAAGTAGAATTCAGCCTTAGCCCAGTCCACAGGGATTGGTAGAATAGAAAGGGCACTGGAAGTTTTGCTTTCTGATCAGTCAGCCATTGTTTGGGGACCATGCCTAAGGCAAGAGCACACAGTAGTGGAGGCAACTCCACTGAGAGCAGTTCTCAAGAGGAACTATTGTCATCACCAACTGCAAAGGGGGTGGGGGTGGGTCAGAAAAGAAACCTACCTGTGTGCGGTCCCAGAGCTCATCCTGCAGACACTCAGCATGGTGATGATACACTGGTCCCAGGAAGGAGGCTTGGGACTGACCAAAGCAGCTCAGGGAAACCAACCCGATGCACTCTGAGAGGCAGCCCAAGTCTCGGGCCTTTCAGAAACATGCTGGGAGAAGGAGCTCGCATCGTAAATGGGCCAGATTAGTGGATCTGGAATGAAGCACGCAACTTGCATGCTGTTGTATGGACAGGCGCTTCTAGAGGCCTCCACCAGAGCAAAGCAGAATGGCTTATATCCAGAAAACTCTCAGTCACTTTGACAGGGGAAGTGGGCCAAGCAATGGCAGTGGTACTGGGTGGCATGTGGGAGCCTACAGAGAAAAAAACCTATAGACAGAGGAAGGCTGGAAGGCCCAGAGGCTAGAGCAGGGAGCCAGATTTACAGTTTGAGAAGCTCACTTCTTGTTCAGGACAGAGGCTGCTGGGAAACTTGAAAGAGGGGCTCCGACAGTCCAAGGACATCGTGCTGGTCTGAGCTGGAGAAGTGATAGGGAGGGGGAAGAGGCAGCTCAGTGGTCTGTTTTGTTAGTTGGCAGGAATTGCAAAGGGACAATACGCATGAACAGAGGCAGAGGCAGAAGCCCACTGTAGCATGGAGCAGCCTGCACCAAAGGAGATGCTAGGAGTGGGTGAGGGTAGGAGCATATGCAGGGTGGGACTGCCTGTCCACCAGCAGGGAATCTGCAGACCTGGTGCCATTCTTGTTACCTAGGTGACAGTCCAATTTGAGGGTAGAAGGCTGTCCTCCACCTGAGCAGCCAGGCTTCAGATTTCTGCTTTCCACCCCTGGACTCTTCAGATCAGGGCAAAAGACACGAGCTTTCCTGGGGTGGGACCTCTCCTGGGCCTGGGTTTGGGAGTCACCAGGGTAGACCCATAGGCTCACTGTGCTTGCCACGGGGACTTGAGAGGAACCTCCCTCCCCGCCAGCCTGCACGCTTCCTCCTCCCCAGGCTATCATCTATGAGGGACAGGACAAGAATCCTGAAATGTGCCGAGTGCTGCTCACTCACGAGATCATGTGCAGGTAAGGTGGTACCTCCAGATGTGCCTTGACATTGACAAGACAGCGTACCTCCTTGAGCTACAGCCCAGGTCCCCTGTCAAGTCTTCTTCTATTTCACAACAACTGCCAGGTCCCTGGGGAAGCATGGGCAGGGGAGAGGCTCCTTGAGGCCCCATTAGCCTGTCCTGTTTATGTGACTTCTCTAAGTATTTTTGCAAGAGAGGCCTCCTACTGCTACTGGAAGCTCAACTAATAAAGCTCCAGGGAGTAGCTCTCTGGGAAGATGGGGACAGGGCTGGGTTGGGCAACACAGAGGGCTCTGGGATTTGCTTAGGGGCCTGGTGGAGGAAAGCAAACTGCCTAGAAGTGAGAAATGCCGGGCAGATCTTTGGTAGATAAGTTGGGGGTAGGGAGAAGGAAAGAGCCCTTAGCTCCTCCTTTTCTTTTTTCTTTTTTTTAAAAATATTTATTTATTTATTATGTATACACTATTCTGTCTGTGTGTCTGTCTGCAGGCCAGAAGAGGGCATCAGATCTCATTTCAGATGGTTGTGAGCCACCATGTGGTTGCTGGGAATTGAACTCAGGACCTGTGGAAGAGCAGGCAGTGCTCTTAACCGCTGAGCCATCTCTCCAGCCCTCTTTTTTTCTTTTTTTAAAAGGCTCTCCAAATTTTTCTGTTTTGTTTTGCTTATTTATTTATTTATTTAGAATTTCCACCTCCTCCCCACCTCCCATTTCCCTCCCCCTCCCCCCTTCCCTCTTCCTCTACAGTCCTAAGAACAGTCAGGGTTCTCTGCCCCGTGGGAAGTCCAAGGTCCTCCCCGCTCCCCCCAGGTCTATAAAGGTGAGCATCCAAACAAACAAGGCTCCCACAAAGCCAGTAAATGCAGTAGAATCAAAACTCAGTGTCATTGTTCTTGGCTTCTCAGTCAGCCCTCATTGTCAGCCACATTCAGAGAGTCCGGTTTGATCACATGCTCCATCAGTCCAGTCCAGCTGGCCTTGGTGAGCTCCCATTAGATCAGACCCACCGACTCAGTGGGTGGGCGCACCCCTCGCGGTCCTGACTTCCTTGCTCATATTCTCCCTCCTTCTGCTCCTCATTTGGACCTTGGGAGCTCAGTCCAGTGCTCCAGTGTGGGAGTCTGCCTCTATCTCCATCCATCACCAGATGAAGGTTCTATGGTGATATGCAAGATATTCATCAATGTGGCTATGGGACAAGGCCAGTTCAGGCACCCTCTCCTCTGCTGTTCAAGGAACAAGCTGGGGACCTCTCCTTGGACCTGGGAACCCCTCTAGAGTCAGTCTCTTGCCAACCCTAAAATGGCTCCCTTAATTAAGATATCTACTTCCCTGCTCCCATATCTACCCTTCCTCTATCTCACCCATCTCATTCCCCCAAGCTCTTCCCAATCCTCCCTTAAGGGGAGATGGGGAGAGAGAAGGGGAGGATAGGGGAGAGCTCACCCTTTTCTTTACGCTAGAGCCTGGCATTTCCTGAAGGGCTTTCCTGGATGTGTCCATCCTTCAGTGCCTCAGAGACTGCTTCTAATATGTGGAAAAGAAAATGTGTTTAGAAACATGTTGTTGAGACAGTGATTGCCCTTGGAAGAAAAATGACTAAAATAATAATTATTTTAAAAAGCTAGAGAAGGCCCCTGGAGTGCCGGGCACAGGACACATCTGGGTCAGGACGCCTCTTACAGGGGCAGGTTCACTTTGTGGTCATCAAAGAGACACTGTAGATGATCCACTGCTAATGGATTTCACAGCTAACCCCAAGGTTTCACAGCTAACCCCATTCCTAGAACTAAGCTGCCAAGGGTCCTGCTAAGACCCTTCCTGGCTTTCTCTTGCAAGAGATCCCCTGCATGCAGGAATTCTGCACCCAGAACAGGACATCTGATCCCTCACTGGGCCTGGCCCCTCACACTCTTTCATCATTTCTTCCTGTCTTCGTCTTTTCTTCAGCCGGTGCTGTGACCGCAAGAGCTGTGGCAACCGGAATGAGACGCCTTCAGATCCGGTCATTATCGACAGGTACAGGCTTGGGGAGGGGACCTGGACTGAGCCACTGAGCATTCAGCAGAGGGGTGGAAGCCGAGAGATTTCCTAAGGTGCTATGTGGGTGGCTCTGAGGTCAGAGAGACTTCCCCCAAGGAAATGCCAGTCGTGGCCTGCCGAGAGAAGTCCCTAGGACAAGTTTTCTGGAGCTGCAGTCCCCAATTCCTTTAGCAAAGGAACCAGAGAAGAATCAGGACATGGCAGAATGGTGAAGAACATCTAAGGAGAGACACAGAGTGGGGCTGCTGAGGGCCAGGTGCTGGTGCTCTGTGCTGTTGGCTCTGAGTGCTGGGATCACATATGCACACTGCCACGCCTGTCTTAGTGTCTGGATTTGGTTATATAAGGGGAGAAGCAAGAGAGCCAAAGACACACAGAGAGAGGTGACATTTCAAAGGTGTCTCCAGTGTTTCAGATCCGATCAACTTGGAAAAGGAAGTTTATTAAAAAGGAGATTTGGGGGAGAGCAAGTTGGTAGGGTGAAATACTAGGAGTTTGGTTGTAGCCATACCGTGCTTGGAAGGCTAACTAAACACCCAGGTGGGAGGTTTAAAAAGAAGCTGGAAACACAATTGGGGAAGGGAAGGATGCAGGCTGTGGACACAAAGTGAATAAATGAGATTGGGGAATGAGGGTTGGTAGAAAACAGGAGAGTTCTGAGGGCTGCACCAGGGCTGTCCAGTGTTTAGATGCTGTAGAACCAGCAAAGGAGAGTGCAGAGAAGCTGCCAGTGAGGTAAGAGTCAAATCAAGGCAGTGCCGTGTCCTGGAAGTTACATCAGAAGATGCCCCAAGGTGGAGGCAGCAGGCAACTGTGACCAGTACTGCTCAGCACTGATGGTTGGCTTTAGCAGTGTCGAAGATACCGATGACCTCAGCAGGAATATGTCAGTGGAGCAGAGGTGCATTGCCAAGCCCTTGCACAACACCAGGCATTGACCTAACTGGGCAGCCAGTGAAGGAACGACAAACACATGGACACACAGAAAAGCTTGGATTGGGTGTTCTGTGCTCAGTCTCATAGAGGAGCCTCAGCATCCCAGGAGCTCAGTGTGTTTAACATAGACAGTTGAGCGGTATTTAGATGTCATTGAGATGTAGATTGTTGCACACAGCTGAACAAGGAGGTGAGGTTATTACATACAGATAAACGAACAGTCGGGGTTGTTACATACAGCTGAACAAGGAGGTAGGTTTAGCTACCCTCAGTAGGAGCAATCTCTGCAGGGAGCTGTCTTCAGGATGTGAACACTGGGTGGTGGGTGTAGTGGCGGTGGGTCCGCGCATACTGTCAACACTCAAACCCAGACCCAAGGAAGGCCTTCCCTTCCCTCTCCGCCTGACCTGGGGAAGGCTTTGCCCCTCCTATGGGACTGAGCTACTGGAGTTCCGGATGCCCATGTCAACATTACAGTCAGGACTCAACCCGCTCCCTAGAGTGTACAAAGAATGGGGTTGTGGAGTTCAGAAACAGCTGCAGAGCAACCTTGAAGGGGTCAGAGAAGCAGTTTGGAGGTGGGGGCATTGCAAGGAAGGGCAAGGAAAACTGCAGTGTGATACCTGGAGAGGCATCCAGTATGCAAGAAAGAGAAGGGAGGGTTTCTGTGCTAATGTCCTGCAGCTAGTGAAAGGGGTAGGCTCTGGTACTTGGGTGGATGCTCTGGTTTGTCTGGGAATCCAAACCATTGGTCCAGGGAGGCGTTGGAAAACAGAGAACATGGCCTCTCGAATGGGTTAGCATGGGAGCTTGTCGATACTCTCTTCTGATTGCCTTCTGGTTTTGTTTTATGATTGCTTTGTTTTCTCAGTGAAGAAGGAAGGTCAACAGCTGAGGATGAAGATGGAGAGGGAGACACTAGGGGGGTGAAATGTTTTTCTAGGAGGGTGAGCGGTCTGGGGGAATCCCATGTCATTGCCACGCAGCGCTAGGGCCTGTCCGAGTTCTGTGGCCATAAATTTAGTTCTTTGGCCATCTCGGGCCATAAAGGTAGAGTGGTTGTGTGAGCCCCAGGGGAGGGGTTGCCAGTTCAGCACAGTAAAAGCTGGGGTGGTAAAACGGTGAAAGGCCTGGTCAAGATGGCCTTCCAGAGCTGAAATGGGACTCAGGCGCACTAAGGGAGAAGTGCAGAAGAGGGAACGTAGGTTCAGAAGGGACTGAAAAATTGCTGGAGATGAGTGACAGGCAGGAAATCAGAATCGGGTTGGAGAGGAGACTGCCTGTGGGTGGGAGGATTTTGTGTTGAATTTCTTAGTAACACTTGGCCAGCAAAAGAGGGGAGCAATGTCAACAGGGGAAAACATGCCCAAGGAATGGGGTGGAGAGAGTATCGGAAGAAAAAAGCCTGAGTTGACATTGCAGTCATCAAGACTGTATACAGGAGCAGCATTGGGATTGGGATTTAGGAGCGAAAGCTCCAAGGCCTGATGGAACGTGGGGTGACAGATGGTTTCAGCAAACAATGGCTCCCCTGCTCCCCCTGTCTCCGTCAGTAAACCGAGCAGTCGCATCCCAGCAACTTCCGTTTCTCGTTCTCTGAATGGCTGAGCCTACCCTCTTGTTCCTTTTTCACGGTCTGTTCATGTTTTGTGCTAAGTTTTCTCTAAGAGTTGGTGTTTCTTGGTGGTTTATCTGAAAGAACTCAGTTCTTTGCTATGAGCTGTTCGTGTTTGTTCTATTTGGCTGTTTTTGGCTGTTGTCTTTGAACGGTGTTGTGATGAAGTTTGTCTGGTCTTTTATTTTTTTAAAAAAATAGTCAAGATTTTCGCTGTGTTTAGAAAGACTTTTAAATAAACATCATTTTATTTTATTCTGGAGATGCTAAGGGTGAAACCCAGGGCCTCTGCGGTACTCTCCTGCTGAGCTACACCCTCACCTCTAAGATTACTTTTGAAGTTTATCCTGTGGGACTAGAGAGATGGCTCAGTGGTTGAGTACTTGTTGCTCTTGCAAGGACCTGAGTTCTGGTCCCAGCACCCACATGATGGTTACTACTAACAGTAACTCCAGTTTTAAAGGACCCAGCTCCTTCTTCTGGCATCCGAGGGTACCAGACACACATGTGGTATATGTCCACATACTCAGGCAAATGCTCATATAAGGGATTTATTTTTTAAAGCAAAAATGTTATATTCTATATGATAAATACCAAAGAAAAATAAAAATCATGAAACATTCCACAGGATGGATAGATTTGAGACCAGCCTAGGATACACAGGGCAACCCTGCCCCACAAAACAATAAACAAAAATTAAAAATTAAAAATCTTACTGAAACCAATTTTTTCTTGTTTGTACCATTGCCTAGCCCTCTCGTGGAGATGAGTGTGATTTATTTCTAAATTGAGTTATCATGGATTATATATTCTCTAAATAATATGTTGTGTAGTTGGAGTTGTGTTTGTGGTTATTTGTTCGTTTTACTGTTGTTTTGAGACAAGGTCTGACTGTGTAGCTCTGGCTGGCCCAGAACTAGATATATAGGCCGGATTGGCCTTGAACTCATAGAGATCTGCCTGCCTGTGCCTTCCAAATACTGGTATTAAAGGCATGTACCACCGTGCCTTGCCTTCATTTTTCTTTTTCAATTATTGGGTTTTTTCTTGTTTATGTATTTATTTGCTTATTTACCTACTTGTTATTTATTGTTTTTGAGACACCGAGTAGCCCAAGCTGCCACTGGACTTATGATTCTCTTGTCCTCCCTAGTACAGTACTGGGGCAGTAGATGTTTGATACCACAGCTCCCTGTTGATTTTAGTGACCTCTTAGGAGCTAGAGATGAGGTAACCAAAGAAAACTGCAACTGCATTGTGGTGACTGCGTCTCTTTGTGGCTAGACACCCTTGACAATGTAGCTGGGTCATTTTGATCACATAGATTGATGATGATGATGTAGGAAGAGTGTATAGGACAAGTCACTCACTTTCCCTAAATGTTTTTTCAAGAGAATACTGGACATTTGGGCCTTTAGTGTTTTCATGCAAATTTTAGAAACTACTTGTATGGATTCTCACACCAATCTACACTTGTACACACACACACTAAGTGTGTAGTAATATTCTTTGAGTAATATTGCAATGAATATTTATACATTTATACAGCCATTTATATAGTCCATTTATACAGCCACTTTTAAAGACTTTCGGTAAAGTTGTATAATTTTCCAAGGCCACATGTACTTACTGTTTTCACTCATTCACTTGCTCAATAACTTGTTGTTGAACAGTACTGTGTACCAGGCACTGTGTGAATAGTGCATATACCAGATTCTGATACCACATAGATAAGGAGCTAGAGATGAGACTGTGTCTCTTTGTGGTTAAACACCCCTGAAAATGTAGTTGAGTTGTTGAAACTAAGGCACTAGATGGCATCTTCCCACAGATGTGTAGTTCTCAAGGCACCAGAGGGCATCTTCCCACATCCATGTAGTTCTCAAGGCACCAGAGGGCATCTTCCCACATACATGTAGTTCTCAAGGCACCAGAGGGCATCTTCCCACATACATGTAGTTCTCAAGGCACCAGAGGGCATCTTCCCACACACACGCATTCACAGAGGGTCTATGTTCTCAAAAGTCCTGACATCATTATAATATTACTTGCATTGTGGCTTTTTGTTTTTAATGTGTATGGATATTTTACTTGTGTGTACGTATGTTTGTGCATAACATGCTTGCCTGGTGCCAGAGGAGGTCGGAAGAGGGCTTTGGATTCCCTGGAATTGGGGTTACAGATGGTTGTGAGCTGTCATGTGGGTGCTTGGAACAAAGCCTGGGTCCTCTGCAAGAGCAACAAGAGCTCTTCCCCTCTGAGTCCTCTCTCCAGCCCTGTCCTGTCCTTTTGACACCCTCTGTGTGTGTAGTTTTCTAGAGGAGCATGGGAACCAGTACTCTAGAAGGGAGATCTGGTCCACCAAGGTTTGGGAGGGAAAGGGTTACCTTCTGTCATCAGTCTGACTCTTAATTTCATACATATG